CTGCATTTCGTTTGAAACAGTCTCTCCGATCTCCCGGCCTTTGAACCCACAGCACTCGTGGCAGATCTAGAAGGCGGCAGGGCGAGCATCAGTTGCATTTCGTTTGAAGCCCTCTCTCCCACCTCCCGGCCTTTGAACCCACAGCCCTTGTAGCAGTTGGACCAAGTGAGTGGACGGATTTAGAAGGCGGCAGGGCGAGCNNGAGCATTATCAGCATCAGCTGCATTTGTTTTTGCCAACCCTCTCTCCGATCTCCCGGCCGGTGAACCCACAGCGCTCGTAGCAGTTGGGCCCAGTGAGTGGACGGATGCAGAAGGACGCAGGGCGAGCATCATCAGCATCAGCGAGACCCTGCAAACGGCCACGGCAATGCACTGTCTGCAATGCGTTGTAATGTTCAGGGTAGTGTAGGGGTCGTCATAGTTAGTGATATCCTTCCTTGATCTTCTTCATATGTATTATAACCCACAAGGCCCTATTGTAATCATTGTGGTCCCTATGTTACAGATGGCAGATCGGGGTCGTGGATGAGGTGCCTTCTGCTTCACAAACCCGGCTTTAAAGCTAAAGCTATCCAGGGCTGGCCTTTAAAAGATGAAACCGGAAGCCCCAAGGCCGCATCCGTAGCCCCGACCCCTAAACCCTAGCTCCAGGGACGGACACGACCCAAGCACTGCTCTACCACTCCGTCGGTCTGTATGTGGCTCAAGCCCAGAAAAGGGTAGCTTTCCGGCCCTGGGTTTTGGTGGGGGCCCTTGGCTCGCTCGGTTTAGGGTTGAGGGTTTGGGGCTATGGGCTCTGTAAGGGGTCTATACCGGGTCTGTGCGGGTTCTATTATTTTTTTTTATGACGCCGGAAATCCGTCAAGTTATTTTAGCTTAACGTGCATTTGGCGGCCGATTTTGCCTACTGCCGGGTATTCAAGGTTCAGGGTTCCGTATCGAGATTTCCTCATTAAGAATTCCTGATAAGGGTTTCCTCTGAAGGTATGCTTGTCAAGAGATCCTCGTTAAGATCTCCTTGTTAAGGTATCCTTCTTGACGTAAACATGCTTACCAAGATGTCCACGGTTGCTGGTGTCCTTAGGAAAGAAAGTCCCTACTAAGGTCCTTGTTCAGGGATTCATTCGGGGCTCACATTCAGAAAGCCTCATGGAAGTTGCAGTCTTGTAAAAACTTATTTAGAATCCCCAAACCCTAAACCCTAAACCCTAAACCCAAAACCCTAAACCCTAAAACCCTAAACCCTAAACCCTAAAACCCCAAACCCCAAACCCTAAGCCTTCCAAGACTGGTGGCGGCCTCTCGAACACATCTTGCCCCGGGGTTTAGGGTTTAGGGTTTAGGGTTTAGGGTTTAGGATTTAGGGTTTAGGGTTTAGGGTTTAGGATTTAGGATTTAGGGTCTAGGTCTAGCTGACGGTTTAAGGGGTGTTGGGGTTTGGATTTATTTGTGTGCAGGATGGCTTGTGAACGCCAAAGCTGCGAGGCATCGGAGACACCCTAAACCCTAAACCCCCAAACCCTGAACCCGAAACCCTAAACCCTTAACCCTAAACCCTAAACCCTAAACCCCAAACCCTGCACCCCGAACCCTTTCAAACTCTCCCTCCGAGAGCCTGACTTGCCCAGGGAGACAACGAAGAGCGGGCGGTTTTCGCCCAGACGTGGCAAACCAGGCGGTGCCGCTGCATCTTCGTTTGGGTGCGTCTTAAGTTTTTTGAAGGGGGGTACTAAAGGGGAGTATATAAGGGACTACTTTAGGGGATATTAAGGGAGACATTAGGAGTTTAGACTAGACAGCACATTTTCTTACCCGGAGGACCCCCGGAAACCCTAAACCCTAAACCCTAAGCCCTGAGCCTGCGTGAGCTTGGACTTGGGGTTCGGAAGGTCGGCTTGATCATCCCGGAGATTATAGCTGGAAGAATGTGGGACTTTCCGAAAATTAGGGGCACCTTTATTAGGGGTCCTTATAACAAGGATCCTACTACTTAGGGTACTATTTTAGGTTCCCCTATTTTCGGAAACCCCCATGTGGCCAGAATAGAGGCTGAGAGCTCGCCGCAGAAATCCGTTCTGCGCCGAACGCCTCGTCGGCTTAGGGGCATGAGGCTTAAGGCGTCCCAGAGAGCAAGAGCTCCCAAGCTTAAATCAAAGGGCTCCGCAGGTGTGACGAAGGCTATCGGAGGATAGGGGGGTTCTTCTTCTTAAGGTACCTGGATCCTGGACCCTACCTACCTTCATCCCGCGTTTCAGGGCCCCTGCTTTCCCAAAGACTTTCGCCATGGCCAGGCGTGGCTGCCACGCAGAGATCGAGTTGACGAGCGGCAGCTGTCGGATTGGGTTGTTCGTCTGATGTCCTCGAAAAATCACCCGAAACCCCAAACCCCTCAAACCTCATTGATATCATACTACTTCAGAATATATCTGGTTGTTAGTAATTTTAGTATCTTATGTATGCTTCGACCCGGAAGCAGCGTTTTAACCCATATCGGATAGAGCCGGAGTGATGCGCGCGGCTGGCCTCTGGATCTTCCTCGCCCGCAGCTCAGGCGCCTCAGGAATCCTGGGGGCAGGGACCCAAAGCCTCATAGACTCAGAAGCCCCCGATATAACCGTTTAGGGTTTAGGGTTTAGGGTTGAGGGTTTAGGGTTGAGGGTTTAGGGTTGAGGGTTTAGGGTTGAGGGTTTAGGGTTGAGGGTTGAGCGTTGAGGGTTTAGGGTTGAGGGTTTAGGGTTTAGGGTTTAGGGTTTAGGGCCATGAGCCCCTTATGTAACCCTTATGTAGTTAATTAATATACTCCGATGCCCCCCAACCCGCTTGCCCGGTTTCCGAGACAACCTCTGCACTATCACAAGTATTTCTGGTGTTAGCACTATTAGTACAAAATATCAACATTCGTGCTCATTGCAACGGTCCTGAGATACGGTAAAAACTAAACCCTAAACCCCAACTGAGGTGGGCCTCTCCTGCGCCCTTGCTGCCAAGCTCGCAGAGGCAGCACCCACAGACTCAGTAATATTGGGGCCTTAATAATTACCTATACTATTTTGGGGGTTCCTTATTATGATGATAGTATAATATACCGTTTGGGGGTTCCTTATTGTGAGGATAGTATAGTTTTCCATGAAGCCCTATTCTAGTTATTAAGGGCCCTACATTCAGGGTGGAACATGGGGCCTGTGGCTTTCTGAAGCCCACGCAAGAATTGCAAGCATTACCAACTGTTGTTTAGGGTTTAGTTTTTAAGGTTTAGGGTTTGCGAGGTCTAGGGTTTTCAACATTGTCAGCATTACCAACCTTCTAGGCAATGTCTGAGAACTTGAAGATAGTCCCTGCCATCCTTGACCCCAACAGCTCCAGCATCCTTTCATATATCCCTTTTTAAGAAATCGAATGATATGTAGTTGCGGTCAGTTGTGTAAGGCGTAAAGGAAGCGCAGTCCTCGTTTGAGGGACCTTAAATGTCTCTGAGGCTGTTGAGCGCAATCCGCACATGCCCGGACTTCTTCACAATCCCGGGTCTCGAGCCTTCTTTCCTGAAGCCCCACTATCTTAATCATATTCTGCAACAGCAGCTCTACTACACACCCGGAAGTCGCGAGCATTCGCCACCAGACCTGCCGATAACCCCGAAAAAAGGGCCAACAGCTCTGCAGCCTAACTCAGTGCCAAGCTCTCAAACAACTATGGGCTCTTGCCAGCATGACCCTAAACCCTAAACCCTAAACCCCTAAACCAAAAACCCCTAAACCCTAAACCCTAAACCCTATTTCTTGGTCTACTTGATGTCCCTTCTCTTCTCACGGCCTTGGTCTTCGCTTGCTTCGAACCTAAGCCGAAGAGCGGAAACCCTCAACCCTAAACCCCGGAGCCTAAACCCTAAACCCTAAAACCCTAAACCCTAAACTCTTAACCCTAAAACCCTAACTCCCGCAGCCTACACCCTAAACCCAATCGGGTACACTCTTCGACTCGTCGCAGCCCTAAACCTTTCGCCTAGACCCTGAACCCCAAACCCCACAGCCTAAACCCTGAACCCTAAACCCTAAACCTGCCGCCTAGACCCTAAACCCTAAATCCCGCAGCCTAAACCTTGAACCCTAAACCTTTCCCCCTAGACCCTCAACCCTAAATCCGGCAGCCTGAACCCTGAACCCTAATCCTTTCCCCCAGACCTCAAACCCCAACATCCGCAGAGGCGCCTCCCCGCCGTGGAAGCGGGGGCCTTCTCGCGCAGGTAGCGACCGTCGAGTTTAGGTGTTGGGTTTAGGGTTTCGGGTTCAGGTTTTCGCTTCAGGGTTTAGGGTTTAGGGTTCAGTGTTTAGGTTTCAGGGTTTAGGGTTCAGGGTTTAGGGTTCAGGGTTTAGGGTTTAGGGTTTAGAGTTTAGTTTAAGGTTCAGGGTTCAGGGGAAGGGTTCTTGCTAGATTTTTTCAGTCGGGCTTAGCATGGTGGGATGTAGAGTTTGGGGGGTTTAGGGATTGACGGTTCAGGGCTTTGGGTTCTTTGGGCATACGCATGGGCCCAGTCTGTCCAATTAGTGTCCCTCTGCTGCTTTTTTTTTGCAATGTGTTCTTATTGATACTTTCAGCACTATCGTTGTTGTCGCTGCTGCATGTTTACATTCATTTCTGCTGCTGGTCTTGGCTTGCACGCTGCAACAAGCTCCATCGAGAATAGATCTGCATCTGAACCCCCTTGTGATCAAAACTGTTAATTAGGAGACCGGAATCAATGGTAACGAGAACACCCTTCCTGCTCGAAACTGGAAGCCCTTACTCCTAACGAACCCTAAACCCTAAGCCCTAAACCCCAAACCCCTAAACACTAAACCCTAAACCCTAAACGCCTAAACACTAAACCCAAAACCCAAAACCCCTAAACCCCTCAACCCTAAACCCTCAACCCTAACTAACCCTGAACCCCCTAAGCCTTCAAAACAAAGCAGAGTCCAATTGTTGAGGCTCCAACGCTTAGAGCCGAGGGTTTTCCCTGAACCGGGAACTGCAAGTCATAGACTTAAAGCCCTTATCCATTGAAGCCCCAAAGCCCTACATGAAGCTAACCCTAAACCCTAAAGTCTAAACCCTAAACCCTAAACCCTAAAGTCTAAACCCTTCACCCTAAAGTCTAAACCCTAAACCCTAAACTCTAAACCATGTACCAGAATCCCCAATCATAAACGTCAAAGCCGAAGGGGCAGATCCTAGGACGGCTCTGGTGTGCTTTGCCAGTGAAAGACCGCAAGAGCCTGAAGCCGAAAGCGCCAAAGCCCTATAACTTGGGCTCAGGGTTTAGGGTGTAGGATTTAGGGACCTTAGGTTTAGGGTTTAGGGGTTTAGGGCTTCAAACCCGAAACCCCTAAACCCTCAACCTTCAAGCCCTAAAGCCCTATATCCCGAAGCCTCGATCCTGAACCACGATTCAACCCTTGAGCCCTGAAGCGGCAGAATCCTCAAGTAAAAGAGCACCAAATCTAGAGCCCTAAACCCTAAACCCTTTGCCCTAAACCCTAAACCCTAAACCCTAAACCCTGAAAGGGTTTAGGCTTTACGGTTGGTTTTCCCAGAGCTCAAGTTCGGAAGCTCCAGCTGCAGGAGGCCGGACATCCGCATCCCCAGGCGATTCTGCATCTGGCGCAGGCATCCGCACCTAGCCTAAACCTGAGGGCCAGAGGTTCAGGGTTTAGGGTTTAGGGTTTAGGGGTTTAGGGTTTGGGAGTTTAAGGCTTAGGGTTTAGGGTTCGATCATGTGGATCTAAGATCCTTGCGTTTAGGGGGGGTTTTGAGCTTGAGGCGGCCCTGAACCCTAAACTTTAGGCCTCAAGCCATGAAGTCCTATAGTCCTGAACCCGTGTGAACCCTAAATCCTAAAGGCCCAAGCCCTGCAGAACCGAAAAGTCCTGAACGCTTCACTTTTCTCCCAGGCCCCGCTCGGAAACCATACGCTGCGGCAGCATTTCGAGGCGACGTGAGGGCCTGCGTGGGGCTTGGGGAGTTTAAAGTTTGCAGGGTTTAGGGTTGTTCAGAGAGGCTCCCCACAAGATCAGACCCCTTTGAACCGCGTAATGATTGAAAAGAAAGAGGAGCAAGCTGGAAAACCCGTAAGAGTAAACCAAACTACCCAAATCAAAAGCATCGGAAGCAACGAAAAACCCCTAAACTCCCCAAGACCCTTTAAGACAACCCTCAACCCTAAACCTTAGCTTCGAAGCCCCTAACCCTAACACCCCAAGCCATAAAACCCCCCACGAGCAGCATGGACGGGAGCTTAACAGGTGCCCTTCTCTCCATTTCCGTGCCCAGAGAAGCCACAGCACCGCTTAATTCAGGAGTATTCCTATATAAAGGGGACGGTGGAGCGTGTACGACTTGGGGCGAATAAAAGAACTGGCATGGTTTGAGGAATTTGAGGAATCTTTCAGACAAGGGGCATTGGAGTTTATACCCAAGCCCAACCCCACGGCAGTACTTTGATTTGACCTGTGATGTAAGCACAATGTGCGATGTCCTTTAGTGCACTCCTTCGTGGTCACGCCTGGAGCTACTCGTGTGAAGGGTCAAGAGTGCAATATAGGGGCCTTGAAAATTACCTATATTATCCCTCGGGGCTGCATATGTTGATTATAGTTTAACACATTCCAATTTATTGAGGCCCCTGTAGTAGTAAACTTCCAAGAGAACCCCAGAACAAGAGACTCTCTCAGACCTTGGTTGCGGCCGTGAAATCTTCTTCGAATCTTTGCGAACTTCGAACCCCATGGGTTGAAGAGCGGCTTGATACAAGTGCCTGAAAAAGGGGCACGCTCATGCCGTAGGTTTTAGGATATTCGTGGTAGAAGCAGCAAAGTCTGATTATGTAAGCATCTGTATTAGCACTTTCGGGTTGAGGGCTCTGGGGATTTGGGTCAGCCCCAAAACCCTAAAGCCCTACCTCCTAGGGTTTAGGGTTTAGGGTTTAGGGTTTTATGTTTTAAGGTTTTAAGGCTTTAGGGTTTTAGGGTTTAGGGTTTTAGGATTTTAGGGTTGTAGGGTTTTTGGGTTTAGGGTTTGAGGTTTTGGGGGTTTTTAGAATGCTTACAGCCTCAAGCCTAAGCCCTCTTCCCAGCCACTTCCGGGCCCTAAACCCGAAACCCCTAAACCCTAAACCCCGAAACCCTAAACCCTAAACCCTAAACCCCTAAACCCCTAAACCCCTAAACCCTAAACGACGAGGAGCTGCTCAAGCTGGTTCGCGAGGAGCCGAGGCCTTCTCCTTGCGGAGGGCGCCTGTTTTTTTTTTTTTCCGGGGGGATGATCAGGGGGGGGGAGGGAGCTTTGGGCCGTTTAGGGTTTAGGGTTTTGCGGTTTTTAGGGTTTAAGGGTTCTTTGGGCCGTTTAGGGTTTCGGGTTCAGGGTTCTTTGGGCCGTTTAGGGTTTAGCGCTGTGGCGGTGTTGTAAGGGGGTTTGTATGAGGGAGTTACCACGGGGTTTCATACGGAAGGGCCGGTGGGGATTTCTTTCGGAGTTTCAGAGAGATGTTGACGGGTTCTGTTAAGGACTTTGGCAAGGCTCTAGGGTGTTTTCACATTGAGGGTTGGGGGCTACTGTGCTGTATGGGTTTAGGGTTGAGGGCTTCGGCTTTCGGTTTGGGGGCTTCAGGGTTTAGGGTTTAGGGTTAGGGGAAGATGGGTGGGGCTCGTGGCGTTGATGCTTCTTGGGGTCCACCGACCAGGGCATCAGCCCAGGAGTGACTTCCATCGAATGCCAGGCCCTACAGACCCTGTACTTTAGCAAGTTTCCTGAAACTTGCAGGATGGGGCGGGGTGGTTCTGCAAATTCGGTGCCCCTTATCTAGGGTCCTGATAGACAAAATCCCGCTACTTCGGGTTTATGTTGCGTCCATAATTTCTCAAACTCCACAACTCCTTGTAGCTCCTGTACCCTGAACCCTTGCTACCCTTAAGCTTCGACACAGTACGAGCCGAGGGCTTAGCACTCCACGAAGGGGTTCACTCAAGTTCCAGTCTCACCTGCCCGCGAGCCTGCATCTCCAAATGTCGGATTCCCAAACCCTGAAGTGCAAGCCCCCTCATCCTTAAGCTTTGTTTGGTTGAGGGTTAAGTCCTCCCCAATCCCCAAACCTAAAGCCCCCCCAACCCATAAACCCTAAAGCCAAAGCCCTCAGCCCTAAGCCCTGAGCCCTAAGCATCCCTAAACCCTAAGCCCTAAGCCCTAAGCCCTAAACCCTAAGCCCTAAGCCCTAAGCCCTCAAACTTTCTGAAGCTTTCGAAGGATGGCAGGCCTGGGATTCTTCAGTTCAGGGTGTGCGCCCAGGTACTGCGCACCACCGCTTCGAGAGTGGTTGGGTTTTGGGGTTAAGGGTTCAGGGTTAAGGGCATAGGGTTTAGGGTTTAGGGCATGGCCTGAAGCCCAAACCCTAAACACCAAATCGCAATTGTTAAGAGGTTGGGGTGTAATAACCTATACTATTTTGGGGGGTTCCTTGTTAGAACTATAATGGGCCCCAAAACCCTATTCTAATTATTACGGCCCCTATAATAGGGTCCCGTAGGGTTGAGGGTTTTGGGGTCTAGTTTCAGGCTTTAAGGTTTAAGGTTTAGGGTGTAGGACCGGGTGCCGTGGCAGGTATGTGCTCGGCGTGCCCAAGGTGGCTTGGGCAGGGATCCCAGCCTTTGACTTTCACCGCCACGGAGAGCCGTCAAAATTAGGGTTTTGGGTTCTGGTTTTTAAGGGGCTTTGGAGTTTTAGGGTTTTGGCGGTTTGGGGTTTGTTGGGTTCTCAAGCTACAGGTCTTCATGATCCTCGTACAGCCTGACATTTCTTCCTAAACTCTAAATCCCGAAAGCCCTGAACTATAACAAGCAATCTCTTAACCCCCTGAGCCCCAAACCTGAACCTTGAGCCCTGAACAACCACACTATTCAGTGACCTTTCTTCGGGCTTCGTTCCTTAGTAGTAGAGTAGGTAACCTCTAGCCTTTTTCAGAGCAGTATTATCTTGCTTATATAATCCTTGCAGAACCCCTTGAAGGTCAACCTTCACTTCCCCGTGATATCCGACCAGTGAGACCCTAAACCCTAACCTAAACCCTAAACCCTAAACCCTAAACCCTAAACCCTAAACCCTAAACCCTAAACTCTAACCCTACGCCGTTAAGGTTCTCTCCGGGCATTGCAGCATTCCCTCAGCCCAAGACCCATATCCCCAATTTTTCCGGGCATCCGAGCTCTTCGACTGAGGCTCTTGCATCCCGAAACCCCATGGTATCATGTCATACCATACCATGCCATCTCATACCTTTCCATATCACACTCTATCCTATCATATCATGTCATACCATATGATGCCATGTCATATCATGTCACTTCACATATAACATGACATCTCATCATATCATAGCACAGCAAAGCATATCGTAGCATACCACAGCATACCATAGCATGTCATAGTATGCCATGCCATGCCATGTCGTGTCTTACCATGTTGTGTCATGTTGCATCATGTCCATTATCATATCGCATCGCATCACATTATGGCAGGTGATATTGCCATATTATATCATTCCAGATCCTGTGGTATCATTTCATACTACATTATATCATGTTACTTTCCATCAGAGTATATTTTATTTCATATTGCTTGTTTATGTTAGATTTCACTATGCCATGACAGAGTATGTTTTGTAATCTTATATATGCTATGTTGTCTCATCGTGTCTGTGCTTTGATGGTTCTGTACGGCACTGCATTATCTCATGTTGCTTTACATGGTTCAGTTTTAGTTTACACAACACTAAAGTATACTATCCTATGAGCCACTATACTATATCGTATGTATCATGTTGTTTCGAACTAGGTCAGTTTGCAAAACAACCCATCTTGTTTTGTCTCACCCAGTGCCTGTATGCATATTATGTGTTGCTGGAATATTGTATTGTTTTATGCTACAAGGTATAGGTGGCTACATTGTATCATGCTATATTTGGCTGTGTTCTATCCTGCTTTTATACCATATCATACCATATTATATCATCTGATCTCAAGCGCAGCTTCTATGATATTGTGTTTTTGTTACATGATTTTTATAATGTTTTAAAATTATTCAATACTGGTTGGTATTGTTATGTTATGTATTGTAGTGATTGTTTTTTTTTTTTTTATGTTGCTTTGTATGCTTTCCCATCACATGACATCATATCATGTATACTATACTGTTCTGCAAAAGTCATATCACGTCATGTTCTGTCATATCATATCAGACAGTATCATGTCATGTAACGTAAGATCAGATGATATCCTTTTTCCAACATATCACTCCACACCATACAATGCCATACCATATCATGTCATATCATCTCATATCTTCTCTTATCAGATCATAACATATTGCATCCTATCACAAGACACTGCGTGTTAGCACAATATCTCATGCCATTGTATGCTCTTTCATATCATATCACGTCTTATCCTCTTACAGCATCTTAAGTCATACTATTTCGTAGTAATACTCTTGGCATGGTTCCGGTGTTGTTATACTGCATACCGCTGAAAGAAGAGTAATCTTTCCTTTCGTCACACTTGCTGTTGTAAGGCACTCGGACTGGCCATGGCATCGGTGATCACCTACATCTTCATGGCCCCGTCCGGGCACTCGGTTTATGATTTACAGTTTCCGTTCATTGCTCCTCCGCGCACCCACGCTCGTTTGCTCCTGAGCTATCGCATGCCCCTAGCCTTAGCCGTCGCGGTAGCCGTAGCCATCGTTGTCGTCGTCCCTGTAGCCGCCTCGTCGTGATTGTCGTCGTCGTCGTCGTCATCGTAGTAGCTGGAAGAGCTGCAGGAGCAGGACTATTAAAACTAGTTTTATTGGCATTATTATTGTCTTTATTAGTCTTATCGTTCCTCTTCTTCTTACTGTTCTTACTGTTCTTGTTACCCCTAGTGTTCTTGTTCTTCTTAGTGTTCTCATTGTTATGATTTTTTATCATTATTCTTATTCTTCTTTGTAGTCTTCCTTTTGTTACTATTGTTCTTATTATTATGGTAGTTACTCTTCTTACTATTTTCTTATTATTCTTATTCGTCTGATTAGTAGTCTCATTGTTATTCCCACTATCATTCTCATTCTTGTCTTTTTTTTATTGTTCTTGTTATATTTTCATCATTATTCTCAGTATTATTCGTAGCAACTTCATTCTTTTTGTACTCTTCTTATTGTTATGAGCCTTCTTCTGATTGTCTTTCTTATCATTGTTCTTCTTATTTTTTCTCCTTGCTATACTATTGTTCTTCTTAGTATTCTCAGTATTATCATGTTGATTCTTAGTAATATTCTTAATGTTCTTATTGCTGTTCTTATATTACGATTATTCTTATTCTCTTGTTAGTCTCAGTATTTTTGGTATGTTTATTCTTCTTCTTCTTATATTCATTCTCATTTTTCATCTTATTACTCTTATTCGTTTTATTCTTGTCATTATTGCTATTCTTATCGTTATCTATATTTTTTATTGTTATTGTTGTGTTTTTTCATTGTTGTTACTGTTGTTATTATTATTATTATTGTTGTTGTTGCTGTTGTTGTGGTTGTTGTTGCCGTCGATCATGATGTGGTTGTTGCTGTTCTAGTCGGGCCGTCGTTGTATCTAAGGTAGTCGTCCTCTTTGCCGTCGTCATTGTCGTCTGGTCGAGGGTCACAGTGTTTCCAGTTGGCGTTGATCTTGTCGTTGTTTGTTGGCGTAGTCCGTTGTCGTGTCGTTGCTTGTGGCTTCTGCTGTTGCCGTTGTTGCAGTCATTGCTGCTGCGGCTGCTGCTGCTGCTGCTGCTGCTGCTGCTGCTGCTGTTGCTGCGTCCTGGTGTCATGGGGCCAGCGTGCTGCATTCCGAAGCGTGCAACGCTCAAGCTGACGCTTTGTTTTCCATGCTGAGGGTGATCCTGACGATCATCAAGCGCAAAACCGGCGGGAATTGAGCAGCGGCTGACTGGGTTTAGGGTTTAGGGTTTAGGGTTTAGGGTTTAGGGTTTAGGGTTTAGGGTTTAAGCTAATCACCGGGAGTGCGCACCTCCGCAACTCGGGGTTTCACTTTCGCGGAAAAGCAGATCCCGTGCTGGACGCTTGTGGTTAATGTAGAAGCCAGAATAGTTACCAATGTTGCTCCTCGGGGTTCCTTGTTCTAGGTATAGTCTTAATAATATATGCCGAAACCCTTTTCTGATTGTTACGGCCCCTTTATTATTAGATTTAGAAGCTCCAGGGTGCCCTTTGCGTTCAGGAGTTGGAGACAGCATGAGCCGAATATGCGTACTTTACTTGACATCTCGCTAAGCCCCAAGCCCCAAACCTTAAACTGTAAACCTAAACCTCAAGGACCCAAAACCAAATCCACCACTCAAACCTAAGCCCCAACCCTCAAAAAGCCGGCCCTACAGAGTTGGAGCGTTTTGCGGTCGTTGGTGGGGTCCCCTCCATTCCAGTGGCCGGAAGACCTCCGCTTTGGCAAAAAACCCCAGCATAGCCTCACAGAAAGCCCATATTTCAGATTTTCTTCCGGCACCCGCCAGGACAGCCTTGCAGAAAAACCAGTTGCACTGAACTCTGTAGTTCTGTATGTTTATGACGACCGCCGCCAGCACAGCCTCGCAGAAGGCAGACTGCCTCCTCCGGTACTTGTTTGACAGAACGCCCGCGTTTCTTTGGGCACCCGCGAGGACAGCCCTGCAGACAGCCTACATGGGGTCCTTCCAGAAGGCTGGCAATCCAAGGTCCATGGCGGCCGAAATTCCCGCCAGCATATCCTCCCAGAAAGTCCATATTGCAGTGTTGCTTCCGGCAACCGCCAGGACAGCCTTACAGAAAGCCTACATGCCCTGAGCTCTAAACCTGTGTCTGTTTATGCGAACCGCCGCCAGCACAGCTTCACAGAAAGTCCATTGCCTCTTCCGGCAACTGCCAGACACAGAGTCACAGAAATCCGCTTGGGGCGCAACTTGTCACTGGATTCCTTCGATTCTATCCGCCACCCGCATTGCTTTTCTGTTTTGCACGTGTTGCCCAAGCCACATCGGCCAAGCTTGGTATGTTGTATCCAAGAAGGCTATCATTCATGATTCCCATTTCGGCCCTGCCTGGGCCCCGTTGAGTGCAGCGACCACGGTGGGTGATCCCAAAGTCCCCGCTAAGATGCCCAACTAAACCGCAAAATGCTTGAACGGACGGCCGTCTTGGGGTGGGCTGTCTGCCACGCACCCATGACGTTACCACACCCCAAACCCCAAGCCCTAAATTCCGAAACCCAAAAGACCTAAATCCCTGAACCCTGAAATCCCAAACCCCGAACCATAAACCCTGAAACCCTAGAATCCTAAACCCTACACCACCCCTTCATTCTAGCTAGGGGTCCTCTAATTGTTGGACCACGGGAGTCCTTCAGCCCCCCTGAACTTGTCCACCATTGGCGTTGGCATAGTTCCTTCGACATGTGAGCTATAGTCTAAACTCCTTGAAGGGGGTTAAAATAGGGGACTACTATAGGGGATATTAAGGGGGATAAGCGGAGTTTAGACTCTGGCTCATGTGAGTGCACAGGGTGCGATGGGAGGCGTACAGCAACCCTTGCAGAGATTGTGCTCCAGCATTTGTAAAGAAGGTTGACAGGCTTAGCAATGTCGTGAGGTTTCGATGATTCAAGTATTCATTTCCTGGAATTCATACCCATGATTCTCCTTGAAAACGTGGGAGCATATGGGAATTGTGAGGCCCCCGATTTTTCAGGCGGTTCCGGCTGGAATTTTCCCGTGTTGCCTGCCGGCTGTTCCTGGGCTCAAGGCTTCGGCCCCAGATGAGCCTTGCTTGCCAGGAAGGAAGTCCCTTATGATTCTTCCGGATGCATAGTGCTGTAGTGCTGCATCTTCGGGGTTTCGTTTTTTTTTTGGGGTTTAGGGTTTAGGGTTTAGGAAAGCTTCGAAGATTCGACAAGAAGGCGCCTCAGCCACCCTCCGCCTCAGACTCCCAAGAGTCCAACCCTAACCCAGGGAAGGGTTTAGGGTTTAGGGTTTAGGGTTGAGGGTTTAGGGTTTCTCCCAAGAGTCCAACCCTAACCCAGGGTAGGGGAAAGCTCCTCCCGCCTCGCTTGGCCGCAGGCCCAGGCCGGGCTCGCAAGGTTTGGGGTTTAGGGGTTTAGGGGTTTCGGGGTTTTGGGGGTTTTGGGGTTTT